TTTCGCGTTGCGATTTTGTCTTCGCGATTTTCATTTCGCATTACGATAGTCATTTTTGGCTTCAACATAATGCAGATTGAAATCAACAAAATCAACCATTACATTTCAATCAATTAAACAAGCACAAATAAGAATTATGTTCACATCAATTAAACAAATCAACTTTTACAAATCATCTTTTACAAATCAACTTTTACAAATCATCTTTTACAAATCAATTAAACAATCAAAAAATAAGTAATAATTCTTATTTCCTCATCTACTATTGAATCAACTTTTGCAGCCATACATCATTTTCACGCAGCTCACTTCTGAGATTAACCTGCAGAAACCAAACATTTGCTCAAACAACACTTTCTACACATCTAAAACCTATAAACAACAAATTATTGAATTCTAGGTACTTAACCAAACATTTTCAAACCAAAAGCCTATAAACTTACCAATTGTTTATGGACATTTTTATAACGCGGATGCAGGTAGGCAGCGTCTCGTATATATCGATCTAGCCATATAATGCCGAAACCACAAGCCTACTGCAACTCTATCTCTATCGGTGGGAGGTAGATACTTTATACTTCCTGTGATCAAACGCTCCAACGCCAAGCATACGAGAGGACCACAATCCCCTCTGACTCCTTCCGTTTGTTGTGGTGCGGTCTCGTCTCTACTAACTGTAATATTGAGCTTCTTTGGCTTCTTGTTTCCAGAACGAGTCCAATAATTTATTGCATCCAAGAATTTAGCCAAATGAGAGCTCCATCCCTTAATAATATCTCTTAAATCAGCCCATGATATGTAATTTATCATGCTGTCATATACTATTGCCTTAAGGGATGGGAGCTGAAGCTCGACGAGAAGCCAATGTTTACGTTCCAAAACAGGGATAAACACCTGCAATCATAAGTAATAATTCATTCATTTGCGCACTTATTTATGAATACCTTTAAACTCAATCTAAAATAAATACTAACCTTATCGACCTCCCACCATGCAGGATAAAGTTTAGCTTGTCCATTGCCCAACGCAAATGATTCATCTCGTTGATTCTTCAAGTGAACGACGTTAAAAGACGTCGGCATAATTGTATATCGTGTATTTGTTTTATTTTCCTTAAGTTTCCTAATTATTAGAAGACGTGACACCCACGCATCGATATGTTGTTTTACAAAAAAAGACATATATTAGTGACTTACATAAATTTAAAAAAAAAAAATCAAATTGAAATATATATAAGAAAAATATAAGACTTACCTCTCCATCGAAATAGCCATTGTCTTCGACCCCTAATAATATGGCCCACCAAGACCGATCAAGCAACAAATAGATATCATCGTTGAGCTTGCATATGTCAGTGAAACACCCCTGGCTCCGCTCATGTATATAAAAATCAACTGCGGTCTTAGCCCAAAGGGTGTTATCCAGAATTGTGTCCGGTAGTTGTCTCCTCTCCACTTCAGATACCAGAATGGTACTGGCCGGTAACTCATACGAGAGCCAACTCTTATCCATCATGTCCGGCACATCAGAGGGTTTCTCAAGAATCTTACATATGACGCCATGTGAATCGGGCTCTTGAATGGTGGGAGGGACCTCAACGATGACATTAGCCTCTTGAACGGTGGGAGGGGACTCTCGAGGAATGATAGGGGCCTCTTCAATGATAGGAGTGGACTCTTGAGGGATGACAGGCGAGTCGGGCTTCTTATTGCGGTGTCTTCGCACTATTGGGGTGTACGGAGACTTAATAGCACGTGCACGCCGTCTGATGCGTGAACTCCGTCGTGCAAGAAAAACCCGACGTAAAGCATCCACCTTATCGGGCTGCTAAATAATTAAATACAAAAATCAGTAAATAAACAGACATGATATTTATCATCAAGTTAAATATGGAAAATCTTAAACTTACCTCGTTGCGTAGAGTATGAACCTCATTCTGCAACGATACTACCATCTCACGTAGTGCGACAACCTCACTATGTAAAGTAGACACCTCCACACGCCATGCACCATCGTTATCGCGTAGAGTACCGATCTCCTCACGCAAGGCATTGACCTCATCACGTAACTACCTTAACTCATCCCGTGGAGGTGGAGAACAGGGAGATAGAAGTTGTGGCATCTTTTTCGGTCGCCTATCATGAGGTGATGGTGGAGAAGAGGCTCGATGATGTGACGGGATAGGTGATGGCTCTCGTTGTAGAGGTGTATAGTCGGGTCGATCAGGTGATGGCTCTGGGTGAGGTGATGGCTCTCGAAGTGGAGGAAGTGGAGGCTTCTCATCATTCGTGCCATCAAAAAAACGCTGACTAGCTTACCACCAATCAGTGGCAAGCTTAGCCTCCGTGGGTGTCAGTCTCTGTAATGGAGTGTTGGCCTCCTAAAAATATAAAAACTCAAACAAAGTTAAACGTCTACTATTAATAACTTGTTTATATATGATAGTATTTGTGTTAACTTACATTATTTATTGTCGCATATGGTATTAAGTCTTCCCAATCCAACAGACGTTTCCTCTTCCAGGAAATAGCCCTAGGAATATCATTTGAAGTTTTTAATGCATATGTCTGCATGCTGGAGAAAGCCTCGAATATCCAAATCTACAAACAATATAATAACAAACATTAGTAATTGTTAAATAATTAATTATAATTTTGAAAACATTATATAGAAATTCTTACCTTAAAGGCCCAAACAAAGCCTGACAAAATGTATTTCGACCCATCGCCACGCAAACTTTTGCGGTCATCAAAGGCAGACGACAACTTAGTCCAGGTAGCTTTCCATATATACGAACCCTACAGAAACAGATTCCATGCATTTAGGTCCTCTACCAATAATATTAGCTCCTGAGGAATAGGTTGTCTGGCCTCTCTGCCTAAAAAGTCGGCATACAAAAGTACTAGAAGGCATACTCGGACAACATCGACGTCATTCATCCGAGTAAAACCATCTTTCTTATTAAACAATTTCTTCAGGTCTTCGACGTGTAAATTTGGCTTCTCTATTGACTAATCAGGAAAAACCCGGGATAACCATGATGGGCGGGTGATATGACGAGTGTACCGGCCTACATCATCGTGTCCGAATCGTAGACCAGTGATTAAGCAGAACTCCTTCCGCCCAAAACAAGTATACGCTGGTGGAAAATGAAACCATATCTCTTCCTCACCACTTTGTATACTGTCGAGTAGATCGCTATTCATGGTCTGAAGCCACAAATGGGTCAAATTAGCATCTCCACCCGGATGCTATACTCTCAGCCATGGCCCGAAGCAGGTTTCCTCAAACAAATTTCTTTGTGCAGGTGAAAACTTCGAAGCAATTGTAGTGGCTAGGCTAACTTTATTCCTTAATGTCAATGAAGCCGAAAAAAATTTCTGCAAAAACAATAAACATACCAAGTTAGATATACCAAAAACTACACTGTGAAGATATACCAAAAACAATAAACATAAAGAGTAGTAGTTTATTCTTGAAACTAAAATTTGCAACACTGTTTTGTCTTTTGGTTGAAATGAAAATCGCAACGAGAGAATGACTATCGCAACGCGGAAATGACTATCGCAACGAGAGAATCGCAACGCGAAATGAAAATCGCAACGCGAAATTAAAATCGCAACTAGAGAATCGCAACGCGAAAGGAAAATCGGAATGCGATTTTGGTTTCGCGTTGCGATTATCTCGTTGCGATTTTCATTTCTCTCGTTGCGATAGTCATTTTCGTGTTGCGATTTTCATTTTTATGTTGCGATTTTAAGTTTAGAAACTATTCTTCTTCTGCAAATTGAAACTTTAATGGATTGCATTACTTCAACCAAAAGACAAAACAAAGACAAATACTAACTTCACAGGGTTAAAGACTAAACAGTTTAGCAGTATTGGCAGCAATCAAATGAATTTAATAAGAAATCTAAGTGAAATGGTTAATCTATTATTGAAATTACCAGTAAACTTATCATCGATTTCAATATGAAAAACCTAAAATAATGCAAAAATTTCAAAATAAAAATAATTAAAAAAACTAACCCTCGGAGGTTGATTTTCCATTTCTGAATGATTGTGAGGGATTTCTGACCGTGAATGGTTGTGAGGGATTTCGCCGGAGATGGGGACGGAAATCTTCGGAGATGGGGACGGATTTCGCCGTAGAGAGTGAGAGATGGAGATGGGACTGAGTTGTGATTTTAGGTTTTAGGTTATGAGTTGCGATTACGGGATATACTGTGGACGGTTCAGTGTTTCGATAATTAATATTCGTGTTTGGAATTTGAAAATAAAATACGCGTCGCGATTGTAATGGCGCTTTAAAAATCGTGTTGCGATTTACGGATACGCGTTGCGATTTTACGTATTGTCGTTGCGATTTACGGATACGCATTGCGATTTACGTATTCTCGTTGCGATTTACAGATACGCGTTGCGATTTACGTATTCTCGTTGCGATTTACGGATACGCGTTGCGATTTTACGTATTGTCGTTGCGATTTACGGATACTCGTTGCGATAGTCAGAATCGCGTTGCGATTTATATGTTCGCGTTGCGATTTTCATTTTCGCGTTGCGATTATGGAAAATCGCAATGCGAATTTGTACTATTGCATTGCGATTCTTAATAATCGCGTTGCGATTCTGGTAACTGATTTGCGATTCTGGAGATCGCGTTGCGATTTTTATTTCGCATTGCGATTTTGTTGGTCATTTTGGCAAATCCAAAAAAAATTGGTTAAAATCGTATATTATAAGGCATTTTTGATCACTGAGGTTATTTTCTCTTTAGAAAATTAAAGAATAAATAATGATAATAATAATAATAATAATAAAAATAATAATAATAATAATAATAATAATAATAATAATAATAATAAAACTAGCTAGCAATCTCCAGACAAGATCTTTGATACAAACTAGTGTTGTCATCTTGCTAGAGTTGCAGATTATGCATACATGAAAAGCAAGTAACTGCAGATATGAATCACCATTACATCTTTTCAGCAATCTCACCATGGATCCTTAACTTTTTCCTCAAACCTCGGCTCATTGTTTCTGCTGTACATTGCAAACTCTAATTTCGAATCCAAAGTCTTGCAGGCATGCTTCAGCTTAGCGACTTTTGCTTCAAGGTTTCTTACCTCATTCTCGGTCTGAGCTCGTTCTGTTTTAGCTTCAAAGTATCTCCTTGCGTCAGCAGCGCCTTCCGACTCGAATGCAAGGTTTACCAGACGCTGTAGCCGAGATCGTAAGAATCCAACATTTACGCCACACAACTCAAAGGCTTTCAATGTCTTGTCCCATCTATCAAATTCATCTCGAGATGTTGTGAACTTGCAACCTCTAATCACTAAAAAAACAAGTGTAATCGTTGATCGTATTTCCAATAGAAATTGTGATTGAATTTGATTTTATTAACGAAATTTCTGAGAAAAGAGAGTGGTCAGTAAAATACTGGTCGAAACTAATATTTTCGAGGGAACAAAGTAATCCGTCAGAAGTTTATTGGCAGAAAATTTAAAATCCGTTGGAATGTTATATATAATTAAAAAAATTATATTTTATGTTTCCGACGAACATATCTTTTTCATTGGGATATTTAAAAATATAAAATGAAATATGAATTTTTTAATTTTTGATGAATTACATGTTTTCTGTAGGAAATTTAAATCTTAATTTTTTTTAAAAAATGAGGGAAATTTTATCGGGATTATACCCGGAAAAAATTTCATTCACTCCAAAATATTATGAATCCAAATTTTTGTTTAATTAGTTATTGTACCAAAAATTAATAATAATACAATTAAAATAATTACATTAATTTAAAAAAATAGATAATAATAATAACAATTCCTTAATAAGAAAATAATAATATATGATGAAAAATTAAATTCACCATATTAACTAAGATTAAATAGGGATTTACATCATATATTTCATAATTTAGTATTTCTAATAAATATAAATATATGAATGTAAACTATACATAAAAAATACAATATTCAATAATAAAAAAAAGAGTAAAATACAAAGTTTGCATACTAAAGAATTGTTATCATTTAAAAATTTCCAAGCAACCTACAAAATATAATGAAAGATGTTAGTGATTAATTAAAAATAATATAATAAACAAAGTATATTTTAAAAGAAATTACATTGAACAAAAACTAAAAATTACATCGATATTGATAATAATGATAATGAAAGAGGATGAAATTAAGAAAAGAACTTTTGGGAGAAAAATGAGTTAATAAGAAGAGATTAAATGAGAAGAAAGAAATGAGAGAGAAAAAGAGTGTAGAAATGTTTAAATAGGAAAAAATTAGGTTAAAAAATAGATAAATTTAAAATTTTATAGTGCAATGAAGGGAAATTGAAGGAAGTGGAAGCGGGTAAAAAAATCTTAAAAAAATTGTGATGAAACATGTAAACTCTTCACAAATTTGTGACGGAATAGGTGGATCTGTCAAAAACTACAATCAGATCATAACTTTGTGACGAAATAATTTATTTTCATCGGTAAATTGTGACAGATTTTAAATTCGTCGGAATTTTTCTGTCGGTAATTTGAATTTTTTTTTTTTTTTGGTATTGAATGATGTCAGCAATTCTGACAGTTTCGGAAATAATTCCAACTTTAAATTTAAAACTTATACCCTGGATGATATTTTCATGCAGGAAAGCATTTTGACTAAAGCATAGCCGGTAGTATTTACTGCGAATATCTTCCGAGAGCTCGGGATCTATAACCAAGCCATCAACCGATATGTTGTTCTCAAAACTTATGTCTTTGAATTGAACTGTCGGCACGGTTCGCTTGAAATCTTCCAAAACTTCTGAACCAACTTCTTCACCATCATTTTCAGATTGTTCTGTTGGCTGCCCGATGTTACAAGAGAATCCCTGTAGGCCATGCCTCTTGTTCTTCTTTCGAACAGAAGCAAGTGCGTCATTGAAAATCTCAATGTTAAAGAAAGACTTGAAATTTCGTAAGATTCTTCGAAAGAAGTTTTTGGTGTCGGAACTAGAATTTTTAAGCGGCATCGATAAAGATTTTTGTCGGTGATGAATCAAGATGTACACAAATAAGAGAGACTAAAGGGTGCTTTAATTTCCTCTTCTATCTTTCTTTATAAAAAAGAATCTGTGAATTGCATGGTAAATAAATGGATGGTTCTCTTCAAACAGCAACCGAAGAAATTGCAAGTGCTTTTGTTTCTAGCTCATCAAGTATGGTTATAATTTTAAATACCCTTCTATCCCCATTTCATGTATGATGTTCTGAATGTCTCTTATGTTGCGACAATTGTAACCATTCTCAACTCGGAACATGGTTCCTCAAGGTCTTTTCAACATGTGCAATATAGAATTTTATTCAAGATGATCAACTAAATTTTGCCTCCAACATACACATTAGCTCCAGCAATCTTACTCTTGTTTTTCACTCCAATTTTATTTGCTCATCTATGTTACTTGAATATTGTATAAAGTTTGTCCACGCCCAACCACCCCCCAATCTGCAAAAGGGAATGATCTTGCAGAACATACAAGTAAATCCAAGCAACCCATATCAACCATCATTAAAATAATTTATTAAAAAACTACTAATATGATAAATATAAAATAATTTACATAGCAGTATCCAAATTCCATAAAATGATTTTTAAACATTAACTTTCAAAAATATATAATTTATTTTTATTTTTCAGAATTTATTTTGAAATTAATAGAAATTGCCCGTCTAGCTCAGTTGGTAGAGCACAAGGCTCTTAATCTTGTGGTTGTGGGATTGAGTTCCACTGAGAACAATTCATAACGGAGATCTTCCACGGAAGCTGCTCTCAACCTAGTGTTGGGGGCAACTTACTACCCTGCCTCCCCCTTATCCCATTACATATGGGAATAGGGTCAGCTAATTTTGAAATTAATAGACTCTAAAATTCAATTTATTGGATTATTCCAGTACCGCTCTACATCATCATAGCTTCATATAAAATTTGATTGGAACTTGGCTAATTTTGAATCATGATCTCCTTAAATCCCCAAATCTCTTCCCAGTTAGAAATCAAAACTGCTATTTATTAACTGTTATAGTCTGATTCACAACTTTATCCATCAAGTTTGCTCCATTTTATAATTTAGTCCTTCTTATTTCGGTTTAATGCAATTGAACCCTAAATCTCAACACATTCTATACAATGAAAGAATTTAAGACTCATAACCTATTATCAATGACTGATTATTAGTGTAGACACTAAAATTTTGCTGCCACATCCCCCTCATTCGAAGACTTCTCCAACAACCCGCTCAACACGCCGATTCTCTCGGCAACAAACAACAACCGACAATTTCATCGGCATCAACCACCCACAAATCAACAAACAACCACGTTAGAATCCCAATCGAAATCAAACACTAAAAATAGGTTGTTTTTTAGACTATAAATACTCATGTAATCTCACATTCAAAAAAGGGGAATATACAAGAAATTACATGCAAAACACTCAGAGGTAACAAGAAAAATGAGAGGAAAAGAGAGCACAAGCATATTCGAAACAAGTTATCCGAAAGGATTCATTTGAATCAAAAAATACAGAGAGAAAGGAGGGAGATTTCAACGATTTGGAAAAACCGATGGGGGATATTACATACAATACCACAGAGAGTTTTTACACAAGAAAATCGCTGAGAAATACGCAAGTTGAAATTCGAGAGAAGCTTTGTAACATTCGAACGAAGAACAAAATAACTTTCAAGGGTTCGGTTCTTTACCTGAGAGATACCCATTTCCCGACGAAGCTTCTTCGACCTTTCCCATGTCGTTCTGAGCTTCTGTGGTGCAAAAACGATGGTGGAGATGCGCCGCAGTGAAGAAAGCAAAAAAGGAGGAGAAATCACAATTGAAATCCCGAATTCACGCGTGAAATAAGGGTTTGTTTTAGTTTCATAGATTTTTTGGTTTAATTAGGACACTAGTCATTATAGAGTTCCACATTTGTAGCTCTGGAGTTATGCTTTTATTTCTTTCAATTTGGTCACTAGTTGCATTTGTTTTTACTTTGGACTCTCTATTTTACTTTTATTTTAATTTAGTCATTTCTGTTTTATTTATTATTTTTTCCTTTCAGTGTTTAAGTTTAAATATTTATTTTATTTTATTTTATTTCTAGTTTATTCTTATTTTTTAACTAACCCTTTTACTTTTTTTTTACTTTATTCATTTTATTTTCTTTATTTTTCTTTATTTTCTTTTTTTACTAACTTTTAATTATCTCTGCTAATTATTTTATCTTAGAATTTTTCCCTCGTATTTATTTTTGTCTTATTATCTAACATTTTTTGGCATTTTCAGTGGTAATTTCAATCAATCAAAGGTAATAATTCGAATCGAATATTTTAAATTTTAATTTTAATTTCTAATTTTCACAATTAAGATAACCGACAAATTAATTGGCACCGAAAGGGCGGTTCAAGGGTGCTAATCCTTCCTTGACCGTAACCGACTCCCGATTCCGACACGTTTATGGTACAACGCATATCAGGTAAGATGGTGTCTGACCCACCTAAATTCATTTTAAACTGGTCGGTGGCGAGTCTAACTCAATTCATTCAAGTCGAAGCTCAATTTCGGGCCCACCAGAAAGACGGTTCCGACATCTTGGTGACTCTGCTGGGGACAGGTAAGTGAGTCAGGCCGAAATTAAATTTCGGTTGTCTTTTGATGCGAAAATGGTAAATTTGAATTTAAATTTATTTATTCGATTCCAATTATTTATCTTTGATTATTTTTCAAATAAATAGTTGTACTGACATTTTTTAATGATTTCAAATTTTCAAAGTTTTCATCTCTGACTCTATACCCGAGCTCCAAACCCTTTTAATTGGGGGTGAAAGCGATGCCTTCGTGGGAATTTATTCTCCGTATAGGCCTAGCAAGTAACCTTCAGGATTCATATACCTTATGCCTCCGTGTGAATTTATTCTCCGTATGGGCATAAGGGAATGTTTCCTCTCGAGTTTAACTTAGTCCACATAAGCTTGTAATGGGCTTAAGACTAAGGGTCTAGCAAGCCCAAGGGGGCACCAGCAAGGAGAACTCGAGTACCTTTTTAGAACCTAAATCGGGAGAGTACATGGAATTAGAGCCCACCCCGAAACCTCATTCCAAACCCTAGACTGCTTTATTTCCTGTTTTACTTTCTGTTCAAATCATACGAACTAGACAAATATGCGGTTAAGATTTGTTTGAAATTAGCATGCGGGATAGAAATCATGTCTGGGTAGGAATTAAAGCATGTGGGGTAGATATCATGTGGGGTAGGACTTTTTTATTTTTATTATTGTTTTGATTTACCTCACTAATTCTTTTTATTTTTGTTTTCATCATTCGTATCATTTAAAAGAGGTGTTGATCCACCAAAAATGTGTTTGTTAAACATGAATAATTTGCATTAATGGATAAAGGGGTTATAATACAAAGAGATAAAAAAAACTCAGAAGTCCAGTCGTGGTCAAAGAATACTCAGAGGCAAAGGTCGCAAGGGCAAGACGAGGAAAATGTTACTGACCCGAACGCTCCTTTCAAGAACTACAAGAAAAGATGATGAATTCAAGAAACAAGCCGATAAACTTTGGATGGAGGGCTCTAATGGAACTTTCGTTATAAACAAGATCGGCAGAGACTGAAAGTCGAAACGGTTCGACTGGATATTCAACCGGTAACAAAAAGGACGAAAGACGAATAAACTTGTCAGAAGCTGTTCGGGATCTATACCATCAAAATGTTTTTTGTCTCTCCAGACGTAACACTTTTTTCCCCAATAAAAATTGTTCATAATAACATACACATTTTTGGATCAATGCCTTGGACATTTCATGCATCATGCATTTAGACATATTTTGCATTTTGTTATTTTCATTCCTTTGCATTTGCATTAACTAACGAAAGCATGTCTCATCAAAAGGGAACACATACTGTATACACCACCTCAAGCCTTTGGCACGCCCCATCTTCATAACCCCTATTCAAAAAAGAAGAAGATGAACATAATTTACAAGAATGTGCCGAATTTAGAGTCTTGATCCAGCTAATGATGGACAGAAAAGAGATGAAATTTTACGATGAAGTCAATGACACTCCCAAAGTGGAAAGAGTCATGGCAAGTGGGGCATCCTGATGAGGCCCTATTTAATTTTGAGGCATCTTGTTTGAATTTTGTTTTTTGAACTTTCTCATATTTGGAACTTGTTTTTGAACTTTCTTTGGATATTTCAATGAATTTATGCTGAGTAATGAATCACATTTGCAAACTTGCAATTCTTTGAATATCGACTGAATTAAAAAACTTCGTAAATAATTCAGAGTTACAGATCTTTGACAAGTTAACATGATAAAAAAACTGATCAAACAAGGACTTTTGGCCTTACTTCAGAAAGATACACTTAAACACCTTACCATTCTCTTGCAAATAACCAATGTAGCCTTCTCTCTTCATAAGGCTTGGTATTTAGATGTGCATAGGTGCAGACAACATGGGGCATCGTTTGCATATGACGATTACTATACTTTTTATTTAAGACGTTCCGTGATGATAATGATCTTCACAGATGGAATAGTCGAGTAGATGAATCTAGTTTAGGTCAGTTGCTTGGAAATTGAACTCTAAAGATGAGATTCATTGACTTTTAACAACACCTAGACTATAACAGGTTCTTCTTGACATACTTAAGAAATTGGACCCGTATACCCATATTATAATATTATATATATATAATAAAGCTTGAGGTGTCCGTCAAAAGTAATTGGTTAAACACCACGGCTTTATGGATAAGATTCAGCTAGCCTGATAAATGTGATTATAATATACAATAAAGCTTGAGTTGTCCCTCTAGAGTAATTGGTTAAACGCCCCGGCTTTATGGATAATATTCAACTAACCTGATAAAGGTGTTTACATATTGAGCTGTCCCTCTAGAGCAATCGGTCAAACGCCATGGCTTTATGGATTCAGCTAGCCAGAAAATGGCGAATTAAATTTATTTAA